CCCCAAAACCCCAAAACCCCATGCTGCAAAAATCAATGCGAATAAAAAATATAAAGAAGCAATCTTGCAAATAATATTATATTACTTTACTTTATGATTGCTGATATATCAAAAGCAGGATAATTTTAATGCTGATCAAGCACGAAATTATAACAATCTAACTTTTCAATCGATTATTTTAGGTTTTTCCTATTAATGAGAACCACTACTTTGAGGATTTTTGAAGGATGAAAATCCCTCACTCTAATCCGAGTTATTAATCCTCTTAGATATTATTTCCTCGTCAGAAGTAAAATCTTGCAATTCTAAAATCATTTAATCAACACCGTTCACTTTCTTCAATTAATCTTTTCCAATTTGAATATCTGCCCATTTTTTATTAGAAGAAACGCCTTATTTCGAAATAGTTTTATCAGTTATTTGTGTTTAATTTCCATTCTCATTTTCTTTAATTCTAAATGTTCTTGAAGGTAAAAATCTTAACGCCATAGTTTCAAGCAGTTTATTTTAGCCTTCTAGGTTAGAAAACAAAAGGACATTATCATTGTCATACTGTACTGTTTCTTGTTCATAATCTATTAATTGGTCATTCACTCCAAATATTTCATATATTTCTTATTGTTGAAGATCTTTATTTTTTCCCTCTTCTATATAGTCTTAACTTTTTAAAATGTGATCCTCTGACAAATCATCTGAATTTACATCAATGCTTATTTGTTATTCCTAATATTCTGATTAAGATTTTTTTTTATTAAATCTCCTTCCTTTATTGTCTTTGAATTCTAGCTTAAATTCATCGATAACTTTACTGTTTTTATTTTACTTTTTTGAAATTTGTAAAAGGATTTATTTTTAACTCTCATCATATTCATTGGCAATTTTGACTATATATTTTACTTATTTATTTTATTCTTCATCATCAATCACTTCCTGTAAGATATACTCTTAACTATCAGAGTTCTGTTGAGAAAAGCTTAAGCTCTTTTGTAATAACTGTATCTAACTTTAATTTATAGATTCAAATCTATAGGCTTGCTAATTTCTATTGAAGTTTGGAGAACGTGAAGCTTTATTATTTTAGAATTTAGTTAAAGTTTTCTGTTAAAGCATGTCAGGAACTTGCTTGTTATTGAACAATGATTTGCTGAACTAGATTTTATTCTAATTCTAATTTTAATCTTTTATTTTACTATTAATAGTGTACTATTCCAAAGTTGAATTACTAATTTCTTTGAAATTGATATCAGAATTCGAATTTTGATTTGCAAAAAGTACTGTTGAAGACATTTGTTGACTTAACTAGTTTTGAAATTCGCTTTCCCTCTATTCTTTGTCCTATTATTATCTTTTCTTCAAGTAATAACTTAAAGGAAGCTCCTTCCTAGCATTCTTCAAGTTTTGTTTTCTTTTATTAGTAGAATTTCTCTCAAAATCAATATCTAACTGTGAATCTTCAGTTTACATAGTCTAAATCCTACTATCGTAATCTCTAATATAAAATTGGGTAAAATTTTCATCATTATCACCTCTCTATTATTCTACAGTTGAATCTTTTTAATATTAAATTTTAGTTGATGAATAACTTTTTCGTTTCAGTCTCTTTTTTTCTTTTTCAAAACTTTAATTTCTAATGTTTTACATCAATTTTGGCCTCACTACTTTTTAAATTTACCTTCGGTTTAAATAAATCAGCAATCTTTCTATATTATTTTTATTTAATTTTAGCTCACCTTTTCTAAATACTAACTTTATTTATTTTAGTTAACTGTTTAATTATTGATAGTAGTTAATATTTTACTTATCAATTTCGTATGCTATAATCTCTTTTTCAAACTTGGATTAGTTGAAGCATAAGCATAAAGTTAAATAGGCTTTTGGAAATTTTTCCCTAAATTTAGCCTTTCCCTCTTCATACATTTTTAATACCCAGTAAAAGAAAAAGAACAAATTAGAGACTAGAATTATGCCAAAAAATAACCTTTAAAAAGCATCAGATAATGACACTGAGCCTCTAGCATAATCAGGGTTTTGTTCAATCCAATACTTAGGCTTATTTAAGATGAAGAATAGTCCACAGTAGATTGTAATCATTGATGTTATTAATGATAATGTTTCTAGATCATTGAGAATTTGAGTATTAAAAGGCTATTTCTTGAAATTGATCAGTAAAAATATTATGAGAATGAAGAATATTATTAGTGCTTGGGCTACTATTCCAAAGTTACTAATAAATACTGAGGTAAAAATTATCAAGATTTTTCTATACATAATCACTATTTCCCAATAATAGTATTCCTTCCTGTAACCTCTATAAAGGAACCCATATTTTTATCTAGTATCAAAGTTTTCTAATTTATATCTTTATTTAATTAAAATAGCCAATGCGAAGAATGGAATTCCTAGTCCCCATACAACTATACAAGGAAGAGCAACGAAATAGCTATAAAATGTGTGTTCTGGAGACCAACAAACAATTTCTAAGTCATCTTAAACTCTTAATTACCCATCTACATCTTTGCATTTAAAATCATTAAATGAAAATGTGACCAAACTAGGATGTACCAAGAAAAGTAAGATTACTAAACTAGACATTATTTTACCTCCAACTTCAATAAAGTTTTTTATAATAAATCTGTAGATATTCCATATTAATGAGCATATAATCGCGAGCAAGAATGGGAATAATGCTATGATTACTAATTTTTAGAAAAATATTCTTGACATTTGAGAACCTTTACTTTCACCCCCAGTGTCTAAAAAGCAATCAAAGCTAAACACTTAGGTTGTTTAAGTTGCAACTTATTTTGTTGTTGTAAAAAAGCTAACTATTTGCTATGACCAATAGAAATTAAAAGAAGCAGTCATGAGAATTAATTAGAAATGATTCAGCAAAATTTTTAGGTATATACTCGTAACATTGCTTATATCTTGGGCACCTCTCAAAGTTGATCTTATCATTAGAACAACAAGTATAACGATAGCTATGAATATCGAGATCAGTCTTAGTGAATTCAATGAAGGCTAAGGACAAATAGCACATTAGTAGTCATTGTCTCTAGAGTAGCCATTTATGCAGTCAGCACATAGAATACCCTAATATCCCTTCAAGCAATCTCCCAAAGGATTGTTATGAGGGGGGATCATTCCCAAACAAGCTGGCTCAAAAAGACATTAAACAAATACCTTGGATTAATTACTTTTTCTCCAAAACCCTGGTTGAGGACCTATCTCAGCTCCTCCATTGCAAATTGCTTTTTCCGTAGGACAATTTTCACAAAATCCAGGTGATGACATTTTCACCAAAGAAAAGCTCTCTTCACACTT